ATCACAATGACCGCTGTCCCAGGGCTGAGAGCAAGACAGTGTTTATCATGTACTGTACATCAGCTATCACATTGTCCTTCTTTGGGTGAGCGGCTTGCTGAGAAAATTCAGTGCGGCATCACCCAGATACTTTTTTTTCCAAGGCTGCGGCATGGTTCTCATTATCATGTGTCCGGGCTAGGGGACGCTTGCTGCGCTGCATGCGCCCGCAAATCCAGCACGGCTATGAATCTATGAAATGCAACTGACACGAATTTTACACAACTGCACCACAACTTTGTGAATTTGATGCATCTGCAGCCTGTCTGCAGCCACTGTTTCAGCACAGCTCACCTTTGCTCGGGGGTGTCCTTACAGCGAAGCATGTGCTGACCATCAACTGCCGCACCTGGCCTTACCGACACCCTGTCTCCATCCCTGGGCATTCATGTCTCACATTATGGAAAATCCATGAAAATCCGCAACAAGAGAAGCAAATGCAAAACCCATCCAAGATATGATCTTTCAGAAAGTCCGATTGATTTTGAGGCCGAACAAGTCTTTGTCACAAGCGCCCGTCTCAAGAAGTAATGTGAAAAGCTGCTCATTCGGAATGCTAATTAAGAAATGCTCAACGCTTCTCTTCTGGTTCAGAATCATTTTCTTTAGGAGTAAGCATCTGAAGGATTTGATAATTTTAACATGTTTTAATGAAAAAGATATCCAAAAATACCACAGAGAAGAGTGAAATGAATCGGGCTGGGTACTCCCATGTGCTGTCCAAGTTTCTCCATGCAAGAAATGGAAAGCACCACCAAGAACAAAGTCGGAGGGCAGCCTTGGCAGCTGCGTTTGGACATCACAAAGGTCAAGAGGCAAGCCACTCACAAAGAAAATCACAAATTCAGCATGACCGCAAAAGTAAGTGATTCTAACCCAGAACGATTGTTTATGAATGTTTATGACACAACTGCATACAACTGCCTCCATCATCCTGAAACTACAGCATTGCATCTCACGTGAAATCTACCCATGTCCTAGGTCCCCAGCGCACCATTCCCCATCTGCCAAGGCACATCTGAATGGCTTTTCGGGCTTCCAACTGGCGGATCTGCGGTGGAATCTGCCGTAAGGTGCTCTCCACCACACGGTTCACCTGTGGAAAGAGCAAAGAGATCAACGAGGGAGCGCTGTTGCCCACGTTGAACAAAAGGTCAAACATGGTCAAACAACTGGCCTTTCCAATTTACAGTAGGTGTTAAATGGCGTTAAATTGGCCTTTGGCATTGAGACTTGCAACGATCATCAATCATCCCAGAAACACCAAACACCCAAAATATTACTTTAATATAGTAATATCCTATACTCATCCAGAATCATTATAAATATTAATCAATATTAATCATCCATAATCATCCACAATATCCCACAATCCTCCCTAATTCTCCCTAAACATACCTCTATCATAACAATCAATCATATACATAATCATCCGCAATCATCCGCAATCATTGTTAGTCACCCATAATCTTCCATAATGATCCATAAAATATCTCCAATATTATCTAATATAAAATCATTCCTAATCAATCCTAATCATCCATCATCATCCAGAATCAGCCATGTAATCATCAATAGTCATGCAAAATCATCCATCAATTCATCGTCCAAAGTCATCCATACCATTCAATGCTCGTCCAGAATCATTCCGAATCACCCAGCATCCATGTAACCATCCATATAATCATCCACATGCCCATTATCCATCATAATCCATCATAATCCGTAGGACTTCCACGTACCCCTTTGCCATCTCCGGAACCCAACAAAAGCGCCTCCTCGCGTGCTTCCATGGCATCACGCTCCACGCGCCGTACGATCTCCTTTTTTAGAGAGTCAGCCAGCAAGTCCTCCTGTTCCAGTTGAACTTGGGAGCTCCAAAACGGGGCGAGAATTCCCTTGCTTGATGGGAAACAACAACCGCTTGAACCATGTTGAACCATGTTGAACCCCTTCTTCTGCGGGGTTGAATGTTCCCATCAATCCTGGCGAAATCTGGAAGAATCGACACATAAATTAACCTCATGCTCTGGCCGCCTGGCCCTCCTGGTTCATGGCGCCCTGAATCGAATTGGCAGAATGGCTGTTCCACTAAAAGCCAAATGGCAACGTAGGGAAATTGCAAGTCCCACAGGCAAAGGTCTCAGGTATCTGCAACCATTGAAGTCTACTTTGGGTGCAGTCAGACTTGGAGATGATTTTTCGCGAAAAGCCTCTCTCTCTCTCTCACTCTCTCTTTCTCTCTCTCTTTCTCTCTCTCTCCCTCTCTCTCTCTCTCTCTCTCTCCCTCTCCAGTTTACTCATGGTTAATTATTCATGGTTTTTGCCTTGGAAATGTCCCAAATATTCCCAAATAGTTTCTGCCCCGGAAAACTTCGAAAAAACCATGGGTGCACTGAGGTGCAGGCCCCAAGGATTCCAATGTCTGCAGGTGAGAAGGAAAAGCAACACTCTGCAGGGATGGGGGTTTGGTTTCGTTGAGCACGACTAATTAGTGATACTTTAACTCCACCCCACCTTTCAACTTCTCAGGTGGTTCTTCTTGAAAGACTTTCGCGCATCTTCGTTCAATACAGTGGGAGCTACATCTTGCTATCCATGTGTCGCTTTCCACTTCCTTGCATTCCAAACACCGCCATTGCCATGCCGGCCTGAACTTCTTCCTCCAATTCCTGAAAGGCGGCTGCCTGTTCTGCTTGCTCTTGCACGCGCCCAAGATGCCAAGTCGTAACCGTCTCACCTTTCCCATTTTTCAAGAAGAACTCACAAATCCCTCACTGATGCGGTTTGTGCAAAGCTGGAATGGTTGTTTGGATCTCCCAAAGCGAGGCAAGCTTTTTTCGTGACTATTCCAAGGAGTCAAATGGTCATGACAAGTAGACACTGGTCTCGCGGAAACCTGCCATTCAGAGAATCTTCTAGCTTCAAGGAACACAAGTCATAACACTTCACCATTCTGACCTTCATAGGTACCAACAGAGGGTCCGAAACTTAACTTAAACGAGTCACAAAACATCTTGATCTGTGCAAACAACAATCGAATTGCAACATATCCAAGCGCAGGCCCCATGAAACACAGATGGCATTGCCAGCTACAGCCACAGCTGTGGAGATAGGTCACTCATGCCTCATTTTTTCGCGCAACTCCGACGGCGTTCAACTGTCACAACTCGATGTGACATATCACTGGGACATCACCAGCATTGAAAGGGCCGCTGATCAGCTGGTCATGCCATGTCATGCCTCTTACTGTTCAACTTTTGGATGTTTTTGGCCATTTTGGAGAAGTGACGGATATACTTTACCGTACTTTCCCTGTATCTCATGTCTCTGCAAACCGTCAAAAAACACCTTGCATCTGTAGCGTGTTGGTTGGGCAACTCGAGATAATTCAAGAACATGAACATAAGGTAAACAAGATTAAGCATGAAAAAAATCAGGCAAAATTATTCCCAATTGTACCCAAAGCTTGAAAGTTCCACAGAATTCTTTGCAACACCTTCTGTTCCAGAGTGTTCCTCGAATCCGATTGATTAAATCCTTACATGTTCTCTGCCCAGCTGTCACCACAGAGGTCACCACACAGGTGCGGTACTCGGAGTGCCGAGGCTGCTTCAATCTAAGGTTGCAGGCACTACGGACATGGCCTTCTTCAGTTCCTCAGCCGGCAAAGTGCACCATGACAAAAAGGACATGGTCCTTTTGGTGATGTTCAACTTTAGAAATGCTCAGAAAACGTGGAAAGAATCAACGTCCCGTCAGTCCCGTCCAATCTGTTTACTTCGATAAAGTCATTTGTATTTTCAGTTGCGGAGACCTAGGAGAGTAGTGCAATTGTCCATTGCACTCGGATGCCTTTCTTTGGATGCTAAGAAGTGCTTCAAACAATTCACATCTTGAAGCACATTCCCCGCGAAAACTGTGAGTAGTGAGATTTCATCTTCAAGTACAAGAAGCTGCTACATATTCTGAGCTTAGCTAGCTGTTTTCTCTCCAATACATTGAACATCATATAAGTAACTCCCCAGTATCCATCCAGTTGGGTTTCCTCAGTTTTCAGATGTGTTCACCATATACCATGGACCCAGAATGGACCCATAATTATATATCATATATCCTGATCAAGGCTCTGTCATCCTCGCTGGACAATTGATTTGGAAATGACAGAGGCATCCTTGGCTGCACAGCGCAGCGAGCCAAAGCTGTTCCTATGATTTTCTATGATCACATTATGGTGGCACGATATGACACGATGATATGATATATATATATATATATAATTATGTATAATTATATGAAATGATATCGTACTGTATATATGTAATGTAATATGACATGATCATGTTGCAGATCTCTGTACCATCCAAGCGGCGAAGGTGATTCCTGTCATGTGGCCATATGTGGCCTTTTTAACCAATTTCTAGACGAGCATCTCAAACCGCTGCGAACTAACATCTTGGCACACGCATGTTGTTTTGGCCAAGGGTATTCCGATTCGGCCTCACTCTCGCTGTAGCTCTCGCTATCGCCTTGGAGCATCTTGGATTGCCGGGATGGCGTGGTCCCCAAGTGGGTCACGGAAGCTCCTCCTCGTAAAGTCTTGCGGGATAAACATGATAAACGATGTTCATCCTAAGACATAAGCTGCAAACATTTCCTCAGAATCTGACTTTCACTTGACGAAGCAGAGGAGATGCTGCTTGTTGTGGCCTGAACGGTCCAAGGGTCGAGTCTGGAAAGACTGAGCACAGAGCGAAACTGTGACCGAAGGGCATTCAACAGAATCCAACATAATCCAACTGCATTCAAATGATTAACCAGTTGTTGTGAAACTCTATTGAGGCCAAATGAATCCAATTATTGGATTATGTTGGATTGTTGTGCTCCCATATGAAAACAAAAGTGCTCCGACAGTAAAAGCCTGGCAAAGAATGGCATAGCAGCATGCAGGGAACCATGTCTGTCCTGCACTTTCTTTGCTGACACCACGAAGCACACACACACTGCCCTGTGCCCTGTGCTGCGGGCAAGTGACCTTCTTTTTCTTCTTTTTCTTCTTTTTGGACTTCTTGTCCTTCTTGTCCTTCTTGTCTTCTTTGCCTTTGCATGGTTTGCAGTGCCGTGCAGCATGAGACCCAATGCTGGAAGACCGCCCAACTCCACATTCACTTGGTCGTCAGTGCCAGGATCCCACGAAACTCTCCGATAGTCTCTTACGCAGGTTCCGTATGGTTCCGTGATTCATTGCCCTCACGGTCCTAATGGTTCAAATGGTTCTAATGATGACATGACGTAGTGTATATCTTTCAGCACAGATTCGTCTCCGCTGGTTTCTCCTTGGGATATCGATGACAAACATATGATTTGATGGCAGCCTGATGGCATTTTTGTTGGAATTTGAGTGGACGGCTGACAATTTTGTTCCGTCACCAAATCAAGTGCATCACAGTGCATCGGGTGAGAAACTGGAGAGGGGCCTCGATTCTAGATACCAATCCATTCACAACATCTCAATATTCAAACACATCAGTGACTTAGCTGTACTTGGTGTATGTTCAACTTCGGAATTTGGCAGCCTCGAGGTAAAATAGAAAAACAACTCTGCAGCCGACGACCCAACAAACAACTGACAGTCCAGTTTTGCCACTTTTTCTAAGCCCGTTGTTTTCCCAAAACAGTCCAAAGAATTTTGACATAGAAAGCTTCGGGCCTTCTCACCAAACGGGAATTTGAAACGCACATGTTCAAAGCAGTTCCAAATGCACAAAATCCAGCACTTTCCAATGGCCAGGTTGCCCTTCTTATCCTTCTTCTTTTTCTTTTCGGACTTTTCGGCACGCTCAGTCTTCTTCCTCTTTGTACCCCGGGGCTTTGAAGCTGGAAGGCCCACAGCTTCCCTGGGAGCGCAGCTTCTGTAGCCAAAGCTTTTCCCACACTCTTGGGGTGCTCAGTAATATGTTAGTAGTTAGTACAGCACTTGGCACACCATCCCCAATCTTCCCATGAATGGGTGATCTAAACTAGGATGGTTTATGATTGCTTTACGACCCTTAGTTGAAGACCATGGAAGTCTCTGCCATCTACAGGGGTGGAATTCCCCATCCGATGGATGCTCAACCGTGCTGACAAGTGGCGTGAACTGTTGATAGCACTTGCTGCGGAAGGCCAGGGTGTCCTCCTGCGCCGGCCGCACCAAGAAAGCATGGGTTCTTTCACCAAAGATTCAAACTGTTTGGTGGCCTGCAAAGGTATTTAATTAATGGTAATTCTGCTCCAGCTGAATTTTCATGCACTGAAGGTAAACCTGGCATTTTCGACGCAACTCGGCCTTGGACATGCCATCGCGCAGCTTCATGTAGCAGGCACGTGCAATGCGGAAGGCGGCGTACCAATTCTCTCCCAGTGGCTTGCTGGTGACTTGCATCCGGGTGCCATCGAAGTCAATGACAATGACGCCTGGCTGCTGAGTTGACCAATCGGTGACCCCCTTTGTGCAGTTGTGAATTGAGGGTCGGCAAAAGAAGCGATGGTTTTTGCACCTGAAAATGAATGCTTCTGGAAACAATTGACATTTGAATCCCGACTCCTTATATTTTTTTAGCCTGTTGGGACAGGGAAGGTGTGTACGTGATCTTAAGTGTATTGAATGGCCCAATGCTTTCATGTGTCTGTGTCTTGGGGGTTATGCTTGATCACAAGGCTGCTTCAACGACTTGGATCTGGCATCAATTTATATCATCCATGATATCCAAGCAATTCCAAGAAAGGGGGATGGATGGATGATTTGACAACAATCGATTTACAGCTAGATCCCCTGCTTTGGGGATTCCACATCTTCAACAATTGGCATGGTCCAGATCAGTGCCATTGTTGTTCACGCATTCCCAAATGAATATGGTTAAAATGTGCGGGTCCCAAAATGGCATGGTTTAGAGTACAGAGTGCTTATATCACTTATATCCCCAGCCAATCTGCAGTTTTGCGATTCTTAAGAATGAATTTGACAAATGTGCACGCTCAAAATGTATGGTCAACAAAAATAAAGCATTGACTACTGACATGATCCGCCATTAACCGGAGGTTCCCTGGGCGTCCCTGGGCAACAAATCCACCATGGTCACAGTAAATCCACCACACAAATAAGGGTCAATGGTTTCAAACCTATGGGACGTTGACTGTCATTGACACAAGATGATATAACATATATATATATAATTATATATATATATAAATATCCACCACCAACAAATCTGATGGCCGATGGCTGGCTCCTCAATAAGAAAAACACTTCCTCCTTGAACTGTGTAGGGCCTTGCTATGAATTTGAATGACTTAAAGTGGGCTGTCCCCAATCTGTGCTCGAAAAATTACAAATCCTCGTCAGGACCCATTCCCATATTTCATGTGTTTCCACAAACACATGTTGTTCTTCAATTCGTCATTTGATCCCATTGTTTTCTGGTTCGAAACATGTTGACTGCATAAAACTCCTCCTAATCCCCCATAATCAATGGATTGGTTGGAAAATCTTAACCCGAAACTATGGACTTTCCCAATTAAAAGTCATTCAATATTGGGCTGTCCAGCTTTCCTGCAAAATGTTCCCTTCAACCAATCCATTGTCGTGGGTTTCTCCCCGCCTTGCTCCACTCTTCGCTGCTTCACCTTATCAAAAACCTCCTTCTCCGTGGCGTCAGGTGGCAGGGCCGCCAGGGCTGCTTCACTCAGCCCCGCGGAGCCAGGATCTGCCCAAAGCCGCCAAAGTCTTCACAGGTGAAATTTAGTATGATAATAATATGCCACTAACATATACACACACATATATATATATATACATGTACATATATACATATATAATATACATACGTGAAAAAGTGAATATTATATATATATATTTGCATTATCTATGAATATCTATGAATTATACATATATAATATATATATAATCATACTATATCATACTACAGTATATCGTTGTACCTTCCAGATGTATGATTAAATATGATGGAACTCAATAACCCTCACATTTTCTATTATTATATCAGTGATTTATGTTTTGAAATTTGGGCGTGACTCGACCAATGAATTTGGGATATCAATATGATATCATGAAAGAATGTTAACCAAACACGATGATTACTTCAACAGATTTCATGGAAATTGATGGTACGAGTAAGTGAAGATATTGGTCAAAACATGTCCTGGGTGTCCCAAACACTGGTTGATTCACCTGTCATAAACCAGGGGTTGCTGCCAAATCCCCAATGTTGGCTCATGATGGCTCATGCCCAAATATGCATGAGTCAGCATTAGGCTGGGTCTGCATTTTCATCTGACATCTCTATTACTATAAACTATTCAAACATATTCTGAATTCTGCCCTGTTGATAGTTCCAATCCCTCATTGCTTTTTGCGAATTGCACCCCCCCGCGCCGTAGGATTGCAAAGATTCAGGAGCGAGATTAGGCACTTTGCCCTGCGCAAATACATGGAATCATACCGTGATCGGTTCACGGCCAGAAATTTCAGTACTTGAGGCACTCTCATGTCACTCTGGTGCATCACAGCCTGTAGACTCTGTGGACCTATAGGCCTATAGAAGCCTATAGATGTCATTAGACATTAAATGTGTATGTATTATATATGTATGTATGTATGTATGTATGTATGTATGTATGTATATATATATATATTGTGCTGCAATTGTGGAAGACATTGGAACATGGCGGAATCAGTTTGCAATGTAAAGCACTGTACTCAGAATGCTGGACAAAGAGGCACCCTCAGAGTTGGCGTCCCAGTCCTTACTGTCAACGGGAGTATCACCTTCCTGCTGTCTGCTCTGGTTGAAAGAAAACAGAAACCGTCAATCCAGATATATCCAGATCCAGAGTTTCCTTTTGGACAGACTGCCCCAGCACCCTGCAACTTTCAAACAAATGGACTTGTTCTGACACATCTTGATTGTGTTCTGCTGACGGGCCAGCCAGCAGCCGTCAGCTTGAGACATCTTGAGACTGACTAAGTGGGAAAAATTGGCATGTAGGAATGTAGTTGGATGAAAAGCACCCATTTTGAGCAGATCTTTGCACCTTGAACCCGACCTTATCGAAAGATTTCGAAAGTGACGGCCGTCCGCTAGTCCCGGCAAAGGGCGACAGAGAAGAACAAAGAGCTGCACCATGCTACACCATGGTGCACCACAAATGAGCCAAATAAGGTGAGTTGAAGTGATCGGCACCAGATGGCACCAGTTTGTCGGAACTGATTCCAAGACGTTTCACATGTTTCACATTGCCACCGCTGTGCTGGCATGAGGGAAGATCAGCAATTAAGAAGTCACATACATTGTGCCGACTTGGCAGGTGAAGAAAACTACGGAAGCTTGGCACGCAAACATCACGATCCTGTTGCGGGCGTGCTATGGCGCTTGTAAGTTGGGCCAAAGAAATTTGGTATCCAACGAATCCAACACAACAATACACAACATACTTGTGGTGATAGGAACAGCTTTCACCGATCCACCGGCAAGATTTCCAGTCGGACAAATTTCAAGGTGCTGACGCAAATAGATACAGCAAATCACAACAGTGTGTAGTGGGGAAGAAACACATAATACGTGAAACACAACCTGTGGATTATGTTGCCATGGTGCCCACTGTTCCTTTTACAGTAAACCATATATCAATAAAAATCACCCGATATACACCAATTACGTTTGTACCTTTCAACCAACCACATCTCCAACTTGTCCAAACATTTGGAAACTGCTGCGACTGCATGATAATGATATGTGGTTCGGCTTCGTGGCTACATCCAAGCTTCGGCCCTGTCACTTTCGCTGTCGCCACTGGTCCATTGTCATCCTCTTCGGGTTCTTCCTTTGGCTCCTCCTTGGCGAGGGTGCTGGTTTTCAATGCCACAATGCCTCAATGTAACGTACTATCTTCGAATCTTTATCTTTGAAATATGACATCTTCATATTGTGTCAAAATCAACACCATCAGCAAAGTCGACACATAGCAAAGCAAGAAGAACTGAGTCCTTCATTTCCTCTTTCTTCTCAATTTTTTCTTGCTTCTCTTCCTTAAGTTCCTGCTTTTTTTCTTCTTTGGAATCTTTCTTGTCCTTCTTCTCCTTACCTTCCTTCTTCTGCTCCTTGCTCTTGTCCTGCCCTTCTTTCGTCGTCTTGTTCACCTGCCAAGTCGACACAGTATCACTTCAAAAATGCTGATCTCCAAACTTCCCGTTTTCGCTAGTTGGCACCGAAACAGTCCCATCACCTTGGTGCACATCACTGCAACTCGTCTTATTTATTCTTATAGTTTATACTGATTTCATCTCATTTCTGTTGCACCTCTTCCTTCTTCTTTTTGTCGTCCTTTGCTGTTCCTCCTTGGGCTGGGCAAAGAAGCTGCCATAGTCTCGGAGATTAAGAGATTGGTCATTCAGCACCCATGGGACACCTGCTCTACATGGGTTAAACCTACAGCTTCGATTGCCAATGCAAGCACGTTATTGGATTCTTCCTCTCTTATTTCACCTCATACCACACCACTAGTCTTTTGGGTGTAACGAAACCAGGGCACCACCGCCATGTTCCAGGCAGATTCTGCATATCCAAAAGGCTACGTTGTAGCAAATTCCTCTATGGTGGACCCATGGATATCCAGCATTTTTTTTTGAGCCCAAACAAGCATCCTTTGCTGGCGTTGTTGTTGGTCCCGTTCGGAACTTCCTGGCAGGGAAAACCACAGGGGATATTCGGGGGTCATTTTACACAGCAACGGCAGCAAGAACCGCAACCCCCGGGTGAGAAATCAACAAACCAAAATCAGCCATGCCGTGAAGTGAGTTTGTAGAAACTAAAGGCGCAGTTTGATCATCACACTATCGCCACTTACCCGCAAACGGAGTTATAATTCATGTTAATTATAGGGCGTAAAAACATACCTTGGCGACACAACAGCCAAATAAAACGCTGTCCTGCTTGCCTTTGATACTTGCCATCACCTTCTCATAGCACTCCTTGCGGAAAGCCAGGGCCACCTGGCGCAATCCGGTGTTTGCAGGTTCAGCAGCTTGGAGCAACTTGAAAACCATCAAACCAAAAAGACTGTTTGTATACTGATATGATACAGTACCAGCTACTATTACTACTGCTGCTACTACTACTGCTACTACTACTACTGCTACTGCTACTACGACTACGACTATATACGTGTGCACTATTACTATGAGTACGACTACCACTACAACTCCAGCTACTGAGGGTAGCACTACTAGCTACTACTAGCTACTACTAGCTGCTTTTGTTTCTATATGTTTCTATACAATCTCCACAAACAGCACCACTGCTGCCAAAATGAACATGTTATTATCTATAATATTCTATAATCATGTCACAATGTCTGTAATTTATTTTCACGATATCAAGTTGCGATTCATATCGAATCATGCAGGGACCATATCCGGTCATACGACTCAGCAGAGGCCAGGATTGTTGCTCGGTCCTCCGTAGCTCCATGCTAGTGACACGTGCCACCCAATAAAACAAGAGATACTTACAGGATCTTAAAGGCAAAACCATGCTGTCCCCGCGTTGCCTCTTTAGCTGTGCCTTCCTCCAGCTTCACGTAAAGGGCGCGAGCAATCCGCAAAGCGGCTGAAGCTGATCCACCAGCCGCATTCACGGTTGTTTGAATTGGAATCCTCATATGTTGCCAAGGGATGCAACTGTGGGAGGTGCTTCATGTGCTCAATTTGGATTCAATGCCATCCTGGATGCAGAAGTCAAACGAAACCGTAGATTACACTGATTAAATACTGCCAGTTCGGGCACTTTTTTTGGGGGTGCAGGTATGGTCAGGTCTGATCACAATACGCCTCTTCAACATCAACCAGTGAGGTATGTAGATGAAGCACACTGGATAATAATGGATAAGAATCCTAACATGGGTCACTAGGATCCACTGGATGAGCCAAGTCTCCCTTTCACATTGATGGGAACGTAGAGGCTGCCTGGTTTCCCGAGCACCTGGCAAAGTAAGGCAGAACGGGACCATCTCTGAGGCTGGACAATTACCCCGGAGTCTTCAATTGTGCCAACGAGGTGCTTTCACTTTTCGATGCCTCAGTTCAATGTGAGGATCAGCCAAACACCAGCCAATAGCTTTGGACGTGCACCCAACCAGAACAGGCCAAAAACATGAACTGTATGTATGTCTGTCTGTATGTCTGTCTGTCTGTGTGTCTGTGTGTCTATGTGTCTGTTTGTCTGTGTGTCTGTGTCTCTGTGTGTCTATGTGTCTGTTTGTCTGTGTGTCTGTGTCTCTGTGTGTCTGTGTGTCTGTGTGTCTGTTTGTCTGTGTGTCTGTGTCTCTGTGTCTCTGTGTGTCTGTGTGTCTATGTGTCTGTTTGTCTGTGTCTCTGTGTCTCTGTGTGTCTGTGTGTCTGTGTGTCTGTTTGTCTGTGTGTCTGTGTCTCTGTGTCTCTGTGTGTCTGTTTGTCTGTTTGTCTGTGTGTCTGTGTCTCTGTGTGTCTGTGTGTCTGTGCGTCTGTGTGTCTGTGTCTCTGTGTGTCTGTGTGTCTGTGTGTCTGTATGTCTGTGTGTCTGTGTGTCTGTGTGTCTGTGTGTCTGTGTCTCTGTGTGTCTGTGTGTCTGTGTGTCTGTGTGTCTGTGTGTCTGTGTGTCTGTGTGTCTGTCTGTGTCTGTGTGTCTGTCTGTGTGTCTGTGTGTCTGTATGTCTCTGTATGTCTCTGTATGTCTCTGTATGTCTCTGTATGTCTCTGTATGTCTCTGTATGTCTCTGTATGTCTCTGTATGTCTCTGTATGTCTCTGTATGTCTCTGTATGTCTCTGTATGTCTCTGTATGTCTCTGTATGTCTCTGTATGTCTCTGTCTCTGTATGTCTCTGTATGTCTCTGTATGTTCTCTGTATGTCTCTGTATGTCTCTGTATGTCTCTGTATGTCTCTGTATGTCTCTGTATGTCTCTGTATGTCTCTGTATGTCTCTGTATGTCTCTGTATGTCTGTGTCTGTCTGTGTCTGTCTGTGTCTGTCTGTATGTATGCGTGCATGCGTGCATGCGTGCATGCGTGGATGCGTGTATGCGTGTATGCGTGTATGCCCGTATGCTTGTATGCGTGCATGCGTGTATGCGTGTATGCGTGTATGATTGTATGTGTGTCTGTGTGTCTGTGTGTCTGTGTGTCTGTGTGTCTGTGTGTATGTATGTATGTATGTATGTATCTATCTATCTATCTATCTATGTAATTATGCATGTTCCTGAAGAAGTCTTGGAATCTGTGTGCCCAAGCCCTTTGCCCGTCTTATTTTTTTGACGTTTGGGCTTAGCGCTTAGTGGTCCTGTAGCATCCTGTATATAGCCATTCTCAAGCATCCAGCCAATAGTTTAGGCCCAGATACGCCTCATGCCCTGGTGGGGCATCCGGTGGCAAAACGGACTCATCAATGGAAGGAGAGCCTGGCGCCTGCATTTTCGACACCCCCCATTGGCATTGAACCTCCTTCCATGAATTGTATTGGGTTAAATTTCAAACCCTACAGCCATCGGGTGGGTAGAATCAAACAGTTGTGACCCTTCCTTGCAAATTATTGGCGTATATTGGCGTCGGGTCAAATATGGTCTGGGCTTGTCTGAATATATGGTACCGGCCATAAGTATAAGACTTGATGATCTATCCTCATTTTCCCCCTTACACCGCGTAAAATCTCAATTTTGCGGCATCACCATTTTTGGACAAACCCAAATTAACGTATGGTGTTATTTCTCCATTTTATACCCAGTATACCCAGTATATCACATGGTGAGTTTCATGGTCTCTTTATATCCCCGCTGAACCCTCAAAACACCTTGTCAGCCATGGCATCGCCGGCCACAGCGCCAATGTCGAAAGTGTGGAATTTTGGTTTGTTGAAACAACTTCCTGAAGTGGTAAATATTCAGTGCTTGCATGTACTTACTGCAGTATGCTGATACTGTTGCATTGGTATTAGTATATTGATGTATATTGCACCTTGCTATCGCAGTGGTGCCATGCACATTCATGTAATGGCAGCCACAAGGGAATGTCATGGCCACGCTGGTCCCCAGGGTCATAGCCAAGGAGCCGCTGAGAAAGCGGTTTCCGATAGATGATTGGTGCAGTTGGGAGTGGATTCACACTGCATTGCTACGAGCATTTTAGCGGAACCTCCGACAGAGAAGGAAACTACGAGCAAGAACCTTCCAACAAATCCCCCAAACAAGCGGTCATGTCTAGGGATATCCTCAATTTCTGCAGGCAACATCAAGAATCAAGAATCTTGCGGGTAACGTTCCATTTTTTGCATAATTCTCAGCAACTTTGCCGTTGTCCAAGACCCCAAGACCCCCAAGAGGCCTCACGGAGAGTGGGCCTTGACGCTGTGACTTCATCTTCCAGAATCTGGAAGCAGAACACCAATAAAAACAAAGGAACATGGCCGGAAATAACTGGTATCATTATAGTTTGATATATAATATAGATTAATATGATTAATATAGTACAATTATCATTATAACATATTATAACCACACCAATTATATACAATTATCAGTGGTATCACCATTAGTATAGTTGGATAACCAACTGGTGCCAAAGACCTGGCCCGGGCCCTGGTTTTTGATGAAAATCGCAAAAAAACGCCATCCATGGATCCGTGTAGAATCAGCAATTGCCATAAGTTTTGAATGGTCTTCACCCACCCATCATCAAATATCATCAAATATCAATCAATGATGGAAAAAAAAACATAAAAAAACATACAAATCTCAAAGACGGAAGACTGTGACCGCGGTACTTGACACAAGGTGTCTCTTGTGATCCTCAGCATGCCGCCATGGATTTAGCATGGGATTTACCATAAATCGATCCCGCTGGTCACCAACGGCCTCTTTTTCATGTATGAGTTGCCTCAGCCACATCTGGGACCGTGACGTGATTGACTGCCAAGGCTTATTGTGGTGAACTAAGTATAGGATTGCAATAAACTTGGGAAATCCCTTCGCCGCGACAAGCTGGGACAGGTTTTTAAGTGATATTTCATGATATTTGCATTGACACTGCGAGATTTCCTGCATGTTTAAAAACACGTGACTCATTTGCATCTGTCAACACCACCCGTCATCCTAGCCTGGACATATTGGGGATTCAAAAGGTGACCCTCCCATAAATGATTAATATAGGCCATTAGTGGGTGTTGGTCGTTAATGCCCTCAAAGTCCTTACTGGAGGGTTACCTTTTGGATCCTTTTGGGGTTGGTTGGATCCTCATGATGTTCAAATTCCCTTTGCTTTTTGTGCAACAATATGGGGGGTTGTCTCTATATCGTCTCTGATATAATTATTTCCCATAGAGTAAACGCTCTTCAGGTTTTTTGTCTGAAACTTTTCGACGTCAGCATCAAGTCAGCATTGTCCAAAACCTACCTGTAGCTCTGGTGGCTGCGCACTTCGCTGCCTTCTGCGTGCCAAAACGGCGCATCTTGGACTGCGCAAAAATGCAGAGATAAGTTGAAGTATGATGAATCAAACCAAACTATGTCGAAGTGGTATTCTGATATGTTACTCTTGTTGGTGCTTATCATTATCTCTCCTATCGCTATGTATATACATATATATGTACATATCCATATGCAGCATATATATATAGTTTAGAAGGCATGTCAATAGATAGTTTACCAACCCCATTATATATACGTATAAGTTTATTATCATAATATCTAATTATATATATATGCCAATAAATATCGACTAACTATATTTGATTATATAAATAATGATAAATAATGTATGTCATGTATGTTATAGTGGACATCCAAAAGGGCATGCCAACCAGCTCGGAAACTGGCACATGTTGACATCCCATGGAGCTTTCCGTTCCCACGATCAAGCAATCCTTGCTATACACTATGTTCTACAGTGCCGAAGGTGATTATCGAAAGCAGGTTGCCACAAACGCTGACATCCCAAGCCTTGCAATATGGTGTATATATATATGTGTGTGTATATACTGCATGTATATTATATATTGTCATATGTATACGTAGTCTTTGCTAAATGTTAGGCGCTAGCGCCGTCATTGGCAACAGCTGAACGCGCAGAGCTGAAGACAGTATGAAGGCTTTTGGTTGATCCATGTTGATCCATGTTGATCCATGTTGATCCATGTTGATCCATGTTGATCCATGTTGATCCAACCTCAATTAGAAGTCGGAAAGGGCAGGCTCTTGTCCGGGCGAAAGATGTGAAAGTCAGTCACATTTGGAGATCAACTTCAGGGTGCCTGCTGATGATTGCTGATGTGCTGCTGTTTGGATTCAGCTGTCTGCCTTAATCTATCCTCAATCTAAATGCCTCATGCTCGACTGAAATCTGATGGCAAAAGGACACCCCAAAAGGTCACAATTTCCACAAACGCTTTCGATCTGTGAGAATGCGTCCTTAAATCAAGGAGTGAAACTGTGCACCATCTTTGGAAATGCAAGGAGGGTCCTGGAATGGAATGTCCGGCATTGCATAAGACAGCAAAGTCACCAAAAGTCACCAAAAAAATATGAAATATCATCAGATATCATGAAATACCTTCCTTCCTCACGTTTCTCCTGTGCAAAAGAGCACCATATCTGGCACCATAGCTGCTGCATGCTTCTGCGCACCGCCTTTGGACGGAACCAGCAATGTCTTGGATTTGCATACACCGCAGCGACAACATTGCTGAAAGATTGAAGAGCATGAACATCGGAAATCGGACTTCTCAATTCAAAGGAATGAAGAAAAATACACGGAGAATCTCGGAGACGTGTTTGGTGGCTCTGATGAGGATGGGCACTCTAAAATCTTTGAACTATGCACAGGGATGCATAGAAACAACCCGCAAATACCAGCGTAATTGAGGAGTCCGCTACGGAACCCTCTGGCAGACTCAATCTGAGAAGTCTGCGAGGTGAAATCCACTTCGCGGGCGGAACCGAAAACATCAGCGTGACGCCAACTACAAGCAGTGATCTTCAATCTTCCAAGCAAAGCAGTCAAATGCATCATCACAGAAACTGAAGACCATGGCTCCGTTCTATGATTCTATGGGGTGCAGATTCCAAGTTGGTTGCCTTGCTGAAGACCTTGCCAGTGCTCAGCATTGTCAAGGCACTCTGAAGGGCCGGGCAGGTTTCTGGCTCCTGAGCAGTGAAGTAGGGCTTGGCATGTCGCATGCATTCGCATGCCATGAGTTTCAATGTTTGGAATGTGTAGCCCAGGAGCTTCCACAGTCTTCCATACCTTCTAACACTAGACTGGCGTCTGTTTGAAACCATGTAAGACTGCGACGGAAGCATGAGAATGAGCATGAACCAAACCATCTAAATACAAGGGAAGGTATCGGTTTATCTTTTTTTATATCCACAAACTATAAACTGATATAACCTCTCATTCTGGCACAAACCTGAAGTCAAATTTGGGAATCCCATGGAATCCCATTTCATCCCGTCATTATGTTCCTCATAATGGCCATATAATGGGAGCCATTGCCCATGGCTTGAAAACCGCACCTGCTGCTCGGTGGCAAAGATGCTGACGTGGCAGTTGATGCACTGCTGCTCCGACGTCTGGGCAAAAGCCAGGCCAGTCCGACCTTGCTCCAACAAATTCCAACTATCCATTAGATGACTAGAGCCCTGGGCCCTGGGCCCCGGGTTGGCTTTCTCACGAACATCTGTAGAAACCATGCTTTTTGGATGTTTTTGGCTTGAAATATAGAGGGTTCCTACTTGGTTTTCCTATAATTCAGCTTCAAGCAATTCTGGGACTAGGCCCTGCCATTCCGACATTTCAATGAAACACGGACGTGTAGAAACGGATGAGGCCTCTAGCAAGTCTTTTTTGGCGTCCTCATGATGGAGTTTCTTCCCCTCTTAATCCTTCCTTGTGGACCAAGCACACCTCATATTCTCACTCAGTGGATTGGTTTAAGGGAAACTTACCGGAAAGTGCCATACTTCATTGGGAAAACATGGAGAAACCATCGTTTCCTGTAGATTTTCCGATTTTAAGCCAATCCATTGGGACTACGCTATCATCCACCATCAGCCATGTCATATGTCGCTCCAAGTTGCATCACCCTGCCTCGGCCGGTTGGATGCCACATGGGAGCCGACACATGCCGACACTACGCCGTAGACCCACCCAGGGATTTAAGCATTCTCTGAATTCTACATATGTTGTATGAATGGTTTTAGTATGTTGTAGTTACACGTAGTTACCGTATTTTCTTGGAAACAATTCTCCTGTTTCCATACAGTGATTCATCCTACACTGTTTACCAAGCAGCTCAGTTTCTTTTTCTGAACCCCTGGCACGGAGTATGGCAAAGCGCCATGCAACAAAAAAACAAAGGTCTAGAATACAATCGATCCCGTACTTATTATTTGTCTTTCAAATATCCGTTGCACAAAAATCATCATGTATGTGGGGATCACTCATTGCAAGTACGGATGGAAACGATCAGCAAACAGTCAGCAAGGACCCTTTGGGAAGATGAGACAGCCAGAGATTTCCACATGCGTCAACCAAAAAAGTGAAACCGGACTATGGTAATTTAACATATAGTTGTCGGAAATGGTCCATTTATCCTGTGATTTCCCATGATTTCCCTTCAAAAACAGTGAATTTCTAGCTATGTTTACGGTAACTATGGTACAACCATCGAGCCAGGATGCTGTGCTCCATCTCCGACGCGTGGCATTTGCTGCCGTGGCAGGTTCATGGCAGTGTTCTGAACTGCCTGCGGCACCAATTTGCTTTGAAATGTGATGATTTCAAGATAATTAATTAATATATATATATATAATAGATACCGTATTAGTATAATTTAATAAACTATTTATTAATATTAAGATATATTAATTATATTAAGCAAATAGGATCATATATAAGTTAAGCAAATAAGTTGCGGGTGTCTCACACATGAAAGACAAAGCATTCAGGTATCAATTACCCTCAAAAGCCATCAAAAGCCATCAAAAGCCCATGAGTTCAACAGCTAACTGCTTGTGCAGGCCACGTCGTTTGATGATTTGAACCGCTTCACACGCACCTGCAACGCGCGCTGTCTCGCATCCGCCCTGCCGCAGGATCCAACAAAAATGAATTGGGACATCTGGAGCCGTACCTCGTAACACTTTACCCTGACGAGATAAAATATATCTGATAACTTGTAGTCTCCGTACACTTCCCTGACAGCTGCTTGGGAGCATGAACCTGAAATCGCGTGACAACACTTTTCCTACCGGCAAATCTTTGATACGAGATGCCCCCTGGTTCGGGGGGGTGGCCCCCTGACTAGTACAGTAAATATATTGGGTAAGATGTCCCTAAAACGGTGATGCTTGCAGACCTAAGATTCTGAGGATCTAGTCATAGTGGGTGGATACAAGTACTTGGAAAGTGGACTGGGTAGATAGGCTTTGCATACCGCATACATCTGACTGAGGTAGTATATAGAGATATAGAGTCAGTAGAAGGATTTCAAACAAAAAAGGCAAACAGGAGGCACTGCATGGCTTCAGGTTGGCCCCAAAGTGTATGACACGCAACGTATAAAATTGGTCTGCTGCAACATCTGTGTGGTGCAGAGCGGGCCAGGACTCATGCATGCAAACCAATTGTTTCGAATCTACAAGCTTAATAATAGCTGAATAAAGCAGAATCAGAATGAGAAAGCATGTGCCAAACTCTTTCTGACCGTGTGCTAGGGTTGCCTGATTCTGATTTCCCTAACTATCCTTACAACGATAGTGACCTGGAAACTGAGGTCCCTGCGTTGGTGGAGTGCGAGCCTTGACATGGCAAGGGTCGGTGCAGTGATACCTGTTTCACCCCCTTGTTGGAAAAAATGACAAAGGGAATGGTGTAGAATA